ATATTGTTTTATATTAATTTGTTCATAAAGCCTAGGCGGTGAAGCCGCATACATGTCATATGATTAATACTATCCTTCGTAGCTTATAATAAACCAAAAAAAGTATGATAATTTTATATTTAAACAAAAAAATTAAGCCAGTAATTTCTATAGATAATCTAATATTAATTTCTATATAAATTTCTTATCTTTCAGTAAATACATTAAACCTTGGTGACGAAGTCGCCACATGTGCAAGTTCTAGTTGACAAAACAAAATTCCCAATTTTAAGATAAAACCGAACAAATTTAGAATAAACAGAAAATAAACATCAATAAAATGTTACTGTCGTTAAATTTTACAATAGAATAATAAGACCATAGAATAGAATTTATAATAGAGCAATAGAATATTTAAAATCTTTAAAAGTCATCAGTGCAAGTAATGGCATAAGCTAGTGAATATTCTATGAATCCAAATATTTTTGTAAGAATACATCAATATTCATTCTCGTACGTCTGTTTATATCCGAGGAAACTCTTAGTGGAATTTAATAATTCTAGATGCGCAGGACGTCCTCCACTAGAAATATCTGATGGATTATCGATCGATTTCCATTGTATCATAAGTGGTGGATCAATAGTATATGATTTAACGAATCCATTGGAAGCTCTATATGTCAATTCGTTATCAATGGTATCTCTTGTTTGGTTAGGACTAAGATCATTTATTAGTTTGCGAGCACCATTAGCTGAGACTGCGTAACTATGTGTAGTAGTTGGCAACTTGGATATATGCAGCTTAAATTTGCCGTTTTCTGCTACAACCTCACGTTCATTATCTCGATAAGAATTTCCAACATATAACAATTCCCAATCATGGGGTAAAACGTGACTAAAGTCACTCATTATTTTAGAGATTTCCAATTCAATGTCTATATCATCTTCAAGAATCAAAGCGTTTCTATAATCATTTTTTATGATTTCTTCAAGGACAAAATAATGACTTAGATAGCAAGCTTTTTGGGCATTTGTCAATCCTAAATTATATTTATTAAGCAATTTTCTATCAAATTTGGAGACGGCGGGGAAATAGTCCAAGTCTAGGCCAAGAAAATCAGCCAACTCTTGCATTTCTTCACGTCTATCTATTCGGTAACTAAGATGAATAACAAAAATATGATCGAAACCAAGGGTATAATTTAATGGCCTGGGTTTGTGTGACCCAGAAACGTTTGAAGGAACATTTAAGAGTTTAGTCGGAAAAT